GGGGGGCCTCCTTAATAAATAGAAAAAAAACAAGTAAACTTACTTGTTCATTGTATGAATCCATGGCACTTGTAGCTTCATCTAAGAGCAATATTTTAGGTCGACGAACAAGGACTCGAGCAATAGCAATACGTTGCTTTTCACCGCCTGACAGAAAACTACCTTTCAACCCTACTTTTGTTTCATAACCCTAAAACCAATATCATACAGTAGTAATGAAGACATTATATAATTTTGTATTATTTAACCTGAGGCAATTGGTCAATAAATTGATGAATATTGGCTCTACTCGCGGCATTGATAATATCTTCCATTGGAACATTTTCTAAGCCATATGCTATATTTTCGGCAATTGTTAAATCGAACAAAATTGGTTCTTGACTAACAAGGCCAAAATGAGCACGAACCCATTGCAAGTTTAGTTGACGAATATCAATTCCATCAAGAAGCTAGATTGAATGAAAAAATTTTCTATGATCACTTAAACTGTATGCAGAAAAAATACTAACTAGTTGACCACTTGTAACATCATAGAATCGTTCTAACAGTTGAATAATTGTTGATTTGCCACATCCGGATGTACCTGTATGAATCATATTACACAATTAACATTTAAAAGAAACATTTAGTTCAAGCATACCAACAAGAGCCATACTTTGACCTTAATAGTGAATAAAAGTTTCTCATAAAATGATTAAGTTGAAACTTCACGCACTTACTTGGCTTGATATTCAATTGAAAGTTGTTGAGAATAATAGATGTTGGTCGAATTGGATAGATAAATTTGACTTTATCAAATTTTATCTCTCCACGAAAATCAACCTACACGGATCATATTATGTCCATGGTAGATATGTGATTGAAGAAAAACAATTGCCTTCTATGTTCTCTTACCAATTCTTGTCCTTCAGTAGATGTATTGTCAATAATTGGTTTTCGATCAAATAAATCAAAAAACGTTTTAGCCGCCGAGATTGATGCAGCGATCCGGCTAGATCTAGAATTGAATCAGTATGAACAATAAAAGTAAAGTGTAAATTGAGAGAGTTACAGCATTCCGATCAGTCCATGTGCTTGTAACGAAAAAATAGCAAAAGAAAAGGCTCTAATGGATAGAAAAGATAACGAAATATTGTCTTTAGGTTATCAAATAGTAATTTCAACTACATTATAATACGATTCGAGCTGAGTTCGTTCATTTCAACAAGGGCAAGTGCACGCCAATACACAAATGTCATAATTACTACATCTAGTGACCAGTACATGCCATATGTCATTGAATATAGTGTCAAAGGTTTCCAAGACAATCTATGACAAAACAAGATTGATTAAAAATTTATACATGTATAAAATTCAGTTGACTAACATATATGCTTCATGAATAAGTTCAGAATATTGTCGTAGCACTTCCTTTTCTATTGACAATTGTTTTATTGTACGCATATTATGTATAACTTCAACAACAAGCTGTAGAAGTAAAAGATAGAATGAATGTAGTGTATTTGATTTATCAAACAACTCATGATAAAATAATTTTTCCTACAAGAAAAAGCAAATAGATAAAATTTGATCTTACCATACTTGCTCGTCCGATAATGTGATCAGATTGTTGCTTCATCCATATATCTAAGCGTATATTCCCATAGATGATTATGCATATGAGAAAAAAAGGACCAAAAAGGATCAATGCTAATCGCCAACTTATCAAACATCCAAATAGAATTCCAAAAAATGACAATGCGAAAGCTTCACAGATGGCTCCTAATCGTGTACTAGCCATTTCTTGAACGGCTAATGCATCAGAAGAAAGACGAGCACAAATTGTACCAGAACTATTTTCAGGTCGCTCGTAATAAGCAACTTCTTGACGAAGAAGACACGCAAAAGCTTTCGAACGAATGCGTTGTGTCAATTTCGATCCTGCTATGGCAAAAGCTGTATACTATAGCAAAGAATAAATAAATTACTGATCAAATTCAGAAGCAGCATTTTTACCTGAAAAAAACGAAGAATGAATATAACAACACACAAAAGTAAAAATATAAAACTAGTAATTAACACTTGATGACGTCGTTCAGAGTTTGAACAATATTTGAATGCCTACACAATAAAAAAAATCTGCATTAAATAATGTATATTTTGTTGATCCTTTTTGCACAATATTTGTATAGATGGATCACTCACATCAACTATTTTAGCAAGTAAAATTGCAAACAATGGTTGACCTGCTCCATTTAGTATACACGCTATACAACCAATCAAGATAGTGACCCATTCAGAACTATTCATTGACAAGAGTCTTAAAAAGACAAATCTTTCTTGGAATGGCTTCGAATGTTGCTAAAATAAAGGAGATTATCAATAACAGTTTTTCTAAATAATTGCAGTAGTATTTGTACTTTGTTCACATCAATAATTCGACTATCGCTATGTGAACGAGAGTATTCAACTATTAAAGAAACAAGACGAAGAAAAGTGAAGACTAGTGCTATTAGAATGCTAACATACATATCGACTTTTCTTCCTCTTCTGTTGCTTTTTGTATGCTCATCATATCATCGTCACCATCATCGATTCTTTCCATTTGTTGACGTTTGACCATTGCTTGATATTTGCCACCGTCTTTTGTTATCAATGTTTCATGGTTACCTTGCTCAATCACGCATCCATTATCTAATACATATATTTGATGAGCATTTCGAATTGTATTCAATCGATGAGCAATAACAATAGTTGTACGACCTATATATGACTGATATATCAATATGAAAAACAGAAAGAAATAAGCCTTACATTTGCGTGCTCGATCGAGCGCTTCTTGAACAATTTTTTCACTAATATTATCAAGTGCACTTGTTGCTTCATCCAGTAAAAGAAATGCAGGTTGCTTGACAAGAGCACGAGCTAATGCAATACGTTGTTTTTCACCACCACTCAACTGCATCCCACGTTCACCAACAAGTGTTTCATATTTCTAAAAAAAATAATGATACATATACATTGATAAAGACGCATATTTGACACAAACATTTGGTAATTCCATGATGAAATGATGTGCATTTGCTTCTCGTGCTGCTTGTTCAATTTCTGCTCGTGTTGCATTTACTTTACCAAAACGAATATTTTCATAAATGCTCATACCAAATAGAATCTATGACAATAGTGAAGACAAATGAAAAGGAAGAAAACAAAATTGAAAGAAAAAGCATACGGATTCTTGACTAACAACTCCAATGCTTTGTCGAAGTTGTTGGACATTGTAGTCAGTTATCGGTCGACCATCGATCGTTATTCGACCAGCAGAAGGTTCATAGTAGCGAAGAAACAGTGATATACACGTACTTTTTCCTATGAATAAATTGTTAACATAAATGAGATCATTATAACATTTTTATTTTGGAAAAGAATTACCACTACCACTTGAACCTACTAGTGCTGTTGTCTGACCAGCGCGAGCAATAAGAGAGAGATTTCGCAGAACTGGTGTATCTTTTCGAGATGGATACATAAAGTTGATATTGTCAAATTCAATATCACCATTGATATTATAAATCGATTTTGTATCGTCTTTCCATACATCTGTTTCATTGACACTTGCATCATTTTCCTACATAATGTAAATGAATACGAAACATTTCTATCAATATGAGACCTGAATTTAATTAAATTTACTTCCTCAATAAGTTGAAATACCGATGATGCTGCACCACGAGCTTCTGACAATGATTGAAAGTAAGAACCAATAAAACAGAAGTAAAACAAAGATTGGGTAAAGATAGAGACGACCTGCATTAAGATAATAGTCGTATATTCATTTCGTTAAGTGATTATGTGAACTACTCACGACAAGAAGATCACTAATATTCAAACTATTATGAGTTTTGTCTGACACAAGAAGAGAACCAAAGATAAAACCAACTGCATAAACTAGGTAGATTATCAGAGATGTCAATCCAGTATAAATCCCAAATATCACACCTTGACGTATACTGTTCCAATGAGTTGAATTCAATTCTTTTTCATATCTGAATGCAATCAAATAACAACAAGTTTTATGATATCAAACAAGTAAACTTGTTTTCGATTAAGGAAGGTTATTGACATGTTTGAGTAAATTGTTCACTTTCTAATTTAAGATTTATTTAATAATAACTTAACGTTTCGGACAACAATATCGTCCTTCATCAGAAGAGATTGTACATGTATAAAATAGAAAATTTTTTACATATATATATATAATCGAGTTCATATATTTCTTTTCTTTTTAGTCTAATAGTGGTACGGACAAGACGGTAATAGCCTGGCACGATAAAGGTGAATGTTTAATCGTCCGTACCACTATTAGACTAAAAAGAAAAGAAATATATGAACTCGATTATATATATATATGTAAAAAATTTTCTATTTTATACATGTACAATCTCTTCTGATGAAGGACGATATTGTTGTCCGAAACG